TTGAATCATAGCTCTCAATTCAGATGTTGGTGTGGGAGTTAGCATGGAGGAGTTTTCCTAGGACTTGCACTGTACATTAAATCAAGCACCTCACCAACCGGCCACCGGGCATGGAGGTGGATCGTCATACAATTTCTATAATCGTCAAAGATTTTCCAAAGCAACTAACCATACTCGTTGTTAAAAACTAATGATATTCAAATACTGACAACTCAGTTAATTGAAACCAGACAACATACCGTCCAATCCCGGCTTTGCATATTTAGTCATGTCTGCTATTGAAAATCTTATCGTTTTAGTATCTTGTGATCAGCTATGCTAGTTCGTACGCGGTTTCATTTTTTAATGCATAGAAAAACGACATCCAAATTAATTAGTTAACATCTTACTCGATGGTTAAGTTTCATTGTCCTGTCAGCTTCCTTTATCAGTTCTTGCTCTGAGTTACTCATGGACGCAGCTTCTTCTTGCTGCTACGTTGCCTCAAGATGAAGGTATGTACAAATCATGTTCATGTTGCTTCTTTTACTGAATCGTTTTGTGTTAAAGGCTTATGGCTGTTTGTTTGATCCAATTATTAAGTTGTTTACAAGAAAATGAACCAAAAGAACCCAATACTGCTTGAAGATATTGTCTTCGAAAGCATGCTGCTCTTTTTAATTACTTGTACTTGTTGATGGGTGTGTGATGCAGTTGATGTTCTGAATCAAATTGCTCAAACTATGGGAGCTCGTAACTGGACCTTCAATGCTGATGTTTGTGAAGGTTCTTTTGATGTAAGCCGAGTTTTGCAAACGGATCCTCTCAGGAACATTACTTGCGATTGCCAATTTGTCAACAACACCTGCCACATTGTATCAATGTATGTTTCTTTGAACTCGCCGTTTAGCCAGCCCTTAATTTGTAGCTCAACTTATATATCGATTGGGATAGTGGTTTATCAGCAATTTTCATCTTAGTTATACATTAATGAGAGATTCAATAATAAATTGCATTACGAGATAATCAGATTTCTATATTTTGGCCCCAAGTTAAAAATCAAAACTTTGTATACTTTCTTGCAAGGACTACTTGATATTGTTATTTCCATAGAACTAATTCTGGGTTTTATTTTCATTTTCAGAAAATTCATGCTTTACAGCCTTCCAGGAACACTTCCACCCCAACTTGTTCACCTTCCATACCTCCAAGAAATGTGTGAATAGATAAAGTCTTCACATATGTATAATTTATATTTCTCGTTTACTTATTCAGTTATTTTTCGAAGTTTCTTGGCATTTGGGAAGTAAGAAAAGGCGAAATATTCTAAATTTAATTCTGTATTGTTCTGAATTGCAGTGATTTTGCTTATAACTATTTAAATGGTACAATACCAGAGGAATGGGCGACAATGCAATTAAAATATATGTAAGCTAATCTGCACCTTTCTGATCTGTTAAAACAAATAGAATTGTATTTGTCTCATTGATTAATGAAACATCCTTAATTGTTATTGCAGCTCCATTTTTGGAAATCGATTGTCAGGCAATATTCCAGATCAGTTACGGAATATTAGTAGTCTCACATACTTGTAAGCTTTGACCTTCATTTATGTAAATTTATTTGGTGCACTGATTTGAGTCCATAAATATGTAGTTGCTGCTGATTATATTTTTTTTCCATTCTTTTCTGAAAATTTGTGAACTTGCAACAGCCCATTTCTTTTTGACAAATAGAAAGAACAAGAAAATATCTTTTTTAGTTTAAGGAGATTGGTTCATTCTCTAAGAATATCTTATCTGTTTCCTTCCCTTCCTGCTTCCTGTATCCAGACGGACAGCAGAACTCCAAAAGCATTGACTTATTGTTCCATTAAATTCACACACTGCAGAGCCTATGCTATAATTTCTCTTAGAATACTTCTTTGTGCGTGTGCCACCCCTATGTGACATTGTGAGTTAAAAGAGAAAAGGAGTAAATGAGATTTTTGTATATTTGATTATTTGATTGTCAGTCAACAATGTGAACAATCTTTGGGTTGGTATATGAGAATTTTGTTAAAGTGTTCGGGTTGCATTCATCCTCTGCTTTCTCATTACTCATGTGTGTAGGGTATACTCCATTTCTAGAAAAAAAAAGGGTTTTCTCTTCATATTAATTAGTCAATAGAAGTCAATGAACGTCATTGAATCAGCAAACCAATCGCAATTTGTTGATGCGATAATTCGTACCAATTAGAGAAATCCAATCGGCCTTGGAAGGGACTAGATAAGATGTATATGTGGTTACTGGTAACCAGCCAGGTTGCTAAAAACAACTTAATAAAGTAAAGACCAATTTATTTTTTTATAGTGGTTCGGTGGTATAGAAACCAAACCTATATTTACTATTGTGCTATTATTGAGGAGTGTTACAGGGTCGAATGAGGTTACAAAGGGAAGTTCGTGAGATAAATGAAGGACATTTGGCTCTCGCGACTTATTCTCTATAAACACTTTCTAATATAGGTCAATGTATTTTTTCTCTTGGACTTTACTAATACTGTAATCCCCTGGAACGAAGGACGTGGATTCCTTTTATACTTGACTTGTCTGACAGTGGTTGAGAGTGGGTGTTACGCAGTTGCTTGCATGCATAACCCCCTTAATTAGGATCTAAATCAGTAATCTCCATGCTTATAACAGGTCGGGCCATGCTAATGGCAGCTTAACTCATGCTTTTGACAATAATCACTTGTTGAGACAAGACAAGCGCTGACGAGATGACACGTGAGAGGATTCAGGCCATTAGCCTTTGACACACCTTCAAGACGCCTGGCACACATCTGATTGCCACGAAATTAGGCACAACATAGTTAATTGAGTTGCATTCTTCACAAGCAAGACGAAATGCTCTCTCTGATCAGGTCCCTTTTTTTTCTTTTTCTTTTTTTTTTTAACTTTTCTGCATTCTGAGTTTGCGACTCTTGCTTGGGTCCCTTCATGTTGATGTTGAAGCAAAATTGATTCCACCTGTACGTTGAACTTACTAATTCAAACCTTAAAGGTCCCTTTGAGAGTTTCATGGTAGCGGTTGTGAGGCTAAACCACTGTAACGATTTTGAATGGTTTTTAGTAGGGGTTTTTAAAACACCCAAACTGTGTTTGAGAGTTTATTTTTCAACGGTTCTGACCGTATTCTAAAATGATATATTTACATATATGCTCATAAAAATACCCCAACTTCAACCAGTACTTGGGAGTTTTGTTTTTTCTATTACAAAGTAAGGGTTTTTTTTATTTGTTTTTTACTTATTAGTATTTTATAATTTCAAATGTGATAAAGTCTCTTTATCCTTCTTTGCCATTCTTTGCAGTATCTGGAGTGATTGAAAAATTGTAGCTCCACTTCTCCAAGAAAACATTTAGAAATGAGATTTCAATAATTTATTTATTTAATTTCTTTTTATGATTGCTTAAAATTATTTAATATTTAATATGGTTGAAGATGCGTATAATATGGTTAAATTTTGTTTGTTTGGATATAATTGAGATAGTTTTGTAGTGGATAAGGTATTTGTGGAATAAAATTTTAAAATCAACCAAAACACTCCGATTTGGGGAGTTTTATAAACTCTCAAAAATACACTACTTAGTTCTGGGGGGTTTTATAAACTCTCAAATAATAGTTTTAGAATATCTCAAAACCAGTCTAATTAAAAACCCCTCAAAACAAGTGGAAAAAAAAACTCCCAAACAAACCCTAAAATTAATAAACAAAATCTCATCATGAGCTACATGCATGATGCACCCTTTGAAAAATATCTTATACAGTTCAAAAACGTCCGTTTAATACTGAAAGTTACGTGTTTACATTGAGAAACGTAAGCCAACTAGTCAAGGATCAATAACTTGTATTAAAAATGAAATCTGGGTAATATTCACTTAATATATCTGAATGTATTTGACTAAACTTGCATGTTTATGTCTTCCGATTTGTCGAATGTTAGCTAATCATATTAATCATATTCACTTAATATAGGTTTATTCATGTTTTCAATGCTGTTTACGATGTTTTGAGGAAGAAATCTTGATTGCCACAATCAAGTATACACATAAATTAACCAACCCCGGGTGGCTGGGTGACCAAGTGGTTGCATAAGTATATTTGGGTGTATTATTCCTGAGTTCGAGTTTCTCTTCGGTTGTTAATAGGGTAACCATTCGAATTCTTATCCGACCGATAGTTTCCGGTTTTTAAGGGATTGATTAAGGTGCACGTAAGCTAGTTCAGACACTCTGATCATTGAAAAAAAAAAAAAATATAGACATAAATTAATCTTAACAGTTGTTTTCATTAGCGTTATTGGATATGCAATTTTTTCCTCTTAATCTTTTGGATTCAAATCTTAGTCACAGGCCATGAGATCTAATTGAGTTGATAAATACTGATAAAAACAATAGTGAATCTTCTTCAAGAACCCCTAACAGGTCTCATTTAACACAATTTTTGACCATATTTTTCATACTAAATATTCTTCCAGTGGGCTGTTTTTGGGTAAGTGTGAGACTGAGAGTGACAGAATCCGCAAGCCAACGACTCCATAGTTGACTCTCTGCAGCCCCAGTAACTTAAATCATATATAGCTTTCAATTCACGATGTTGGTGTAGCGGTTAGCGTGGAGGAGTTTTCCTAGGACTTGCACTGTTACATTCAAATCATTGGACCTCACCAACGGGCCACCGGGCATAGAGGTAGGATCGTCATACGAATTTCTATTTAATTGTCAAAGATATTCCAAAGCAGCTAACCATATTCAATACTGGCAACTGACTTTATTTGAAAACAGACCACATACAGCCCAATCTCGGCTTGCTTATTTTGTCATGTCTGCTATTGAGAATCTTATCGTTTTCAGAATCTTGTCAGCTAATGCTATGTTCGTACGCGGTTTTATTTTTCAATGCATAGAAAAACGACATCCAATAATTATTTAGTTAATTAACAGGACTTCAAATTCATATTAGCTGAAACACAATATCTTACTCGGATGGCTGTTATTGATTTATTTGGAATTTTCTCATTCATAACATTCTTACTTAGAAGTTTCTCATTCATATCATTCTTACTTTTGCCATAAAATATAAAGAAAGATCAAAATGAAAAAGTATTCATGTTTAGCCAAGAAAGCTTGAGAGTTCAAGGCGTCTTTCTTGAGTTTTTCAATTTCAATGATGTTCTTCAAGAATTTACTCGTATCGATTGTAACTTTAAGTTGTGTAGTGAAACAACTATTTGTAGCTGCTAAGCTGCCTCAAGCCGAGGGTAAGACAAATTCTTCTTACCAAATTTCTGTTTCGCTTGAATTTCACCTTGTTCATGGTTAACTTTATAGTTTTGTACAAGCATGTTGACTGAGTTTTCAATAAAAAAACATATAAGAACTTTCAGGAAAAGAGAGATTAAAATAAGTGTATTTCTGTCAGTATTATGTTCTCTGTAAAATCCTGTACTTCATTTTGATCAAGTCTTCAGATTCTCTTAGTTTATTGCTGTTTTATTTGATATAACGTTGATCATGTAATAATATTATCTTCTCTAGGCTTGGGCGCCATTAGTCAGTCTGTTTCAATTTACACCTCTATTTGAATTCAAATTTGATTTGCTTATCTGTTGCTGTGTTTGTCTGTGGATGTGCTGTAGTTGATGTTCTGAATCAAATCGTCAAAACAATGGGAGCTACTAACTGGACTTTTGATGCCGATACTGCTTGTGAACTCCATGAGGAATTGCCTGTGACAGAATTAACCACGAACATTACTTGCATACTTGGACCCGATCATAGTACACACCACATTTCAGTAATGTTAGTTTTCTTATTCTCTGTATATATTTGCCCATCTCTTTTGTTGTATACACTTCAGTAAAGTCCATTTCCTGGGGTAAATTATTCTTGGAAATCGGCAAATGCCTTCTGGAAATAATCCTGTAGGAAATATTACAAAGGCAAGTCACTTTATAGATTATAAATTCAATCTGTCAATATTTTCTATTATTTAATTTCATTGTTGTTTTGACAAAATAGTAGAATATTTACCATCTTCTAAACTACAGAATTATCATTTTAATTGTTTGATTTTGTACCTGATTTTGCATTTTTAGGGTGTGACTAACTGATTCTGGATATGTTTTGTTTGCAATCTTCAGAGAATTCAAACGTTACAGCCTTTCTGGAGTTCTTCCACCAGAACTGAACCAGCTTCCCAATATCTCTAAAGTGTGAGCTAAACAAATCTGAATATGTATTTTTATAAATATACACATTTTTTTCCTGTAATTAGGAGGAAGAAGCATGAACAGAAAGGAAATTTAGGATCCAATGGTGGAGTTAATTCGTTCATTTTCATGGATCTCTTTTGTCTTTAATAGACATCTTTAAGTAGTAAGGTGAAACACACTAAATTATGTCAAGTTCTTGTTGTTTTGCGTGATTTTTCCTACAACTACTTGAATGGTCGATACCAGTCGAATGGGCTTCGATGCAATTGACATATATGTAAGCTGCATCTATATCTGTCTGATCATGCTAACCAAATAGTTGAATATGTGAATTCATCAACTATTGGAAATTATCAATGCAGCTCTCTCACTGGGAACCGATTATCAGGCAATATTCCGAGCCATTTGGCAACATTAACCAGTCTCACTCACTTGTAAGCTTTGAAGTTTGAACTCTGCGTTACACAATTCACAAATGGATTCTAGCAATAATCTAAGGCTATAGTCCAATTAGTCGTTTAGATTAGACAAATATGTTCTATTGGCTATCTTATTGTTCTATTTTACCAGGACATTGAAGCAAACCAATTCTCAGGAACAGTGCCCACGCAGCTTGGGAAACTAGTTAATTTGGGAACTTTGTAAGTCATTTACGGGGGTTCTTATATTTTGTTGTTTTTTTTTTTTTCTCATTTTTATTGAAGTTATCAATTAAATTTGGCTGCAGGATACTTTCCTCCAATAGATTGACTGGAAATTACCACGAATTTGCTGAGCTGAAAATTGAAGATTAAGTTTTTCATATCGTTTTTGTAAGATTGAGTTCAGAATTTGTCTGATAAGTGATAATTAAGTTTTACTGCATTCTGTTGCACATTGCAGTAGATCAAGATAACAACTTCAATGGAAGCATACCAGAATTTATACAAAACTGGAAGCAACTTTATAGATTGTAAGATGATCTACTTTCCTAAAGATTCGACTCATATTCTGGTTCTCGAATGTTCTTGATTTGGGTTGATGCAGGGAATCAGGTGTGGACTGAAAGGACCATTCCATCATCCGTTTCCCTTTTGAAAAATCTAAATCAATTGTGAGTGAATATTTCTAAACTGTCAACTACAAGAATGCATTATTTAATACATTAACTTATCAGATTAATTATATAAATTATAATGGGTGCTGATGAAAGGATCTGTTCACATTGACACTCTTATGTACGTAAGATTAGTGACATAGATGGAACAAATCAGACTTTTCCTGATCTTAGCAACAGTACCCTCCTTAGACGGTTGTAAGTTCTTGCCTATTCCTATTCTAGCATGTAGATGGAGTAAAATTAGTCACCATACAATTGTCACATCTTATCATTGGATTTCCGGACTTGAGGAACTGCAGTATTTCGGAAGAATACCTGGATACATCTGGGGAATGATAATCTGAGAGTTCTGTAAGTACGTTAGATACTAAACTATCAATTTGCAATGATTATATGCTCGAAAACTGAAAACTTAACTTTCTGTATTGCATGTATGACAATGTAACAACTTAGCCTACTCTGAAAGGTTATTTAGTTAAAGGAATTGATTGTTGTAGTATTTATTTAGTACTATTTTTGCTCTATCTATGTTCTACTGCATAAATTCCATATGCTTATCTTTTATGATATATCTTGTGTTTTCAAATAGGGATCTCAGTTTTAACAAAATAACTGGAGGACTTCCTAATGTTTCTCTGCCCTTGGATTTGAAATTCATGTAAGTTATGAAAGCCATTTTCCAGATTTAGTTTTTGTTTTACAAAGTCCAGCACACTAACTGCTTGATATGGTCTTCATCAGCTTTTAACTGGCAACCTTCTCAGTGGGAATATACCAGAGTCAATCTTACAAAAGGAATTACTGTGTGTGTATCATATCTCTCGAATCCTTTGAGTTCTTCTTTAGCATTTATATTTGTTACATGCATCTGATATATGTTAACAACAGTGAATACACTAATCAGTAATGAAATCATTTATAGATTATAACTTTTATGTGTACTCATATTAGTTTTAGAACCAAAGATGAATTTGATTAGTTTTTTTCTCAATGCTTCATTAATATTGAAATATCCAATTCTGTTTTTTTTTTTTTTTTTCTTGCAGTGATCTTTCCTACAATAATTTCACTCAGCAACCCTTGAACACCGTGCTTGTCGGAACGCAGTCAGTACATTTCTCTATTTTAGTGAACCAATAATCTACTGTGTTTACTCTCTGTGTCACATTCGATTGTGATCCAGACTGAATTGCTTAATAATTTGTTATGTTACTAGGGAATTCGATCTGAACTTGTTTGAAGTTCTTCGGTGGCAAACAACTTGTGAGTTCCCTTTTTTGGCCTTTTTGCTTAGTGGAGCCTTAGCAATCAATACATCAGAAGTTTGCTTGTATAGTTTTCATCATTCATCTCCCATTTAACTTTTAGTATCACTTTTGACCATATTCCATGTGAGACAGAGGCCGGTATAAGATTGTCCCTACTGACTGTGCTTTGTGATGAATCTGTCAAGAAAGCAACAGTTCTTCTCTGGAAACATATTTAGAATTAACAAATAATGTAATTTGTTTCATAGTCTCACGAGCAGTAGCTCTTGACCTCAAGTGTTTGTCTCTATTATGCTAACTGTTTTTTGCTTACTCAAACTAGAAGTGGAGTTCTTCCATGCAAGACTGATCAGAAATGTCATCGACTAGTATGTCTAGAATCAGATCAAAATCTTGTTGTTCTATACATAATGTTCTAACTCATTGCTAACAATAACTTCAAGCTTCTTGCTGAGGTGGTCTTCCCATTTTCTTCTTTCACAGCTCTGCGCTCTTTCTACATTATGTGGTGGAAATAATGTAAAAGAAAATGGCACCACATTTGAAGGAGATGAGCAGAAAATGGTGGTGTTGCCACATATTATTCAAATGATCGTTGGGGATTTAGTAGCACTGGAGACTTCGCGTGATGATGATGAACAGAACAAATATTATGTTGCTCATCTGTGCAATATCAGACATTTCAGAATTATTCATTAATGCTCGCATTGCTCCTTTTCACTTACTTATTTTGGATATTGCTTACAAAATGGAATTATGTTGTCAGTATTATTTGCGGAGATTCAGTTCAAAATGACAACACATATGCAGCCTTGGAAGGCGCTGTTGATATTTATATTCAGGTATCAATCGTATCATTCAATGTATCTTGCTACACTGATTCTAAGCATGGGCTAAGTTTCAAGCTGCTATGTTCTTGGAGCCAACAGTTGGGTCATAGGTTCAGCTGGAGTTGGTTCCTTACAGGAAAGACATACTGAAAGGTTTCACCGGATTCTTATTTTGCAGGACAACTAGTTGAGAGGGATTTCGACATAGAAGCTAAAGCTTCAGGGGTTCTGAAGCAGTTACAAGAAAATATAATGCTACTGTCACAGATAACATTTTACAGATCCGTTTTAATTGGGCTGGCAAAGGGACTACGGCCCTCTCAAGGGGAGTCTATGGCCCCTCGTATCAGCAATTTCTGTGGTGGATCCCAGTGAGTGATTTCTCCTCTTCTAATTTCACATAATACAATTTGTTCAAACAATCTATAAATGCTATTGTTGTAAGAAGAGACAATATAATGTAATCTACCTTCAGTTTGCATTAGAAAAACATATAACAGATGTGAGAATATGCAACTTAGAGCATATATTGCTGAAATTATAAATTTGTCTTAATTTAAACCAATACACTGCACGGAATCAAAGAGTTCACATTTCCCCTGTTTCATCCAATTTTAATTACAAGAGAATGGATATTTAAGTGATCTATTTATAAGTTCAGTTTCATGCCTAAATCCTTATGTATGTTGATTATAATAATTTCTTGGTGGGTTTTCTTGGGCAGACTACAAACCTGAAAGAAGAAGAAGATTGTAGAAATCATTGCAGGTGTCGGATCATGTCTCATAATCTTGGCATTGGGTATATTGGTTGGAGATACTATTCCAGAATCAAGAGGCGCAAAGAAAATGGTTTGGTCCTCTTTAATCTTGTAGGATATTTGTTGCAACCATGTGTTCGAAGAAAGTTTTTAACTCATCTTTCTACCTTTCGACAGATGTTTAAAAGGATCAGATCTGCAAACAATTTCTTTACCTTGAAGCAAATTAAAGCTGCCACTAACGATTTTGATCCTGCGAACAAGGTCGGGGAAGGTGGTTTTGGACCTGTTTACAAGGTATACAATCTAATTTAATGCACAAGAGATACATTCTTAATAAAATGATTTCTCCAATGATCTGCTAAGAATATTACATTTTCTTTTTCCTGCGCAGGGTCAGTTACCCGATGGTACTATAATTGCTGTGAAGCAGCTCTCTTCAAATTCAAAGCAGGGAAACCGAGAATTCTTGAACGAGATAGGCATGATTTCGTGTCTGCAACACCCGAATCTTGTGAAGCTTCATGGATGTTGTATTGAAGGGAATCAACTTGCTAGTTTATGAATACATGGAAAATAACAGCCTTGCCCGTGTTTGTTTGGTAAGTTTAATTTACTGCAAATTACTTATGACGACAATAGCATAGAAAGATAAAACACAAAGTTGAAAACTAGTACAGATATGTCAGCTTCCTTCTTTCTTTAGTAATAATATGTTTGAAATATATTGTTTTTTTAAGGCGTGAAAATTGTCACTGAAACTGGACTGGCCAACTAGACAGAAGATCTGTCTTGGGATAGCTAAAGGTTTAGCTTTTCTTCACGAAGAATCAAGTTCAAAATTGTTCACAGAGACATTAAAGCTACCAATGTTTTGCTTGATAAGGATATAAACCCAAAATATCTGACTTTGGATTGGCTAAGCTAGATGAGGAGGAGAAAACCCATATCAGTACCGAATTGCAGGAACAATGTAGGCACCCATAGTTTCTCTTAAGAATTGAAAGTTAATTTGTTATTGTTTCAGATAAAACACTTAAGAT